ACTCAGAGTCTCACATAGGCTAGGTGAGTGCTTTACCAATGAGCTATTCTCCCAATGGATTCATATGTTTCTTGAATGCGTGGTAGAACTCGCTAGAAAAATCACTTGTTTCTGGTGCTTTCTTTTGGGGTAGACACTGTAACTTCTTATTCACTCTCCATAAGCTATATAAATGCTCCTTTTCCCTCTCTTTGCTTTTGGTAGGTTATATTATATAAAAATTTGTCTATTTGCTCTAAATTTGCAAATTAATTGGCATACTTAGTAATAGCATTTTCATAAAATTATTTCAAAAATTGATTAGTATTAAATAAATTTAGTATTAAATGCAGAGTGTCTAAGATTTTGTTAGATTTTAAAGTCAGATATATATATATATATATACACACACACACACACATATATATGTATAATTGATTTTTTTTTTTTTGGTTTTTTGAGACAGGGTTTGTCTGTGGCTTTGGAGGTTGTCCTGGAACTAGCTCTTGTAGACCAGGCTGGTCTCGGACTCACAGAGATCCGCCTGACTCTGCCTCCTGAGTACTGTGACTAAAGGTGTGCACCACTCCCGTCCAGCTATTTTTCTTTCTTTTCTTAAATTTTTGCTGGTTTTGATTTTTGACATAGAAGTTCACATTGTAGTCCAGGCTGGCTCAGAACTCATCAGCTTCCCAAGTGCTGGACTTGCAGACAGACCTGACCCACCATGCCCAGCTGCTTCATTATTTTTAATAGTCTAAGCTAATTTAATTAAGTTTGTACATGGTATTAAATACTGAGAGAACTTGTGAGATAACTAAACATTGATGAAAGAGCAAGTGGGGGCTGGAGAGATGGTTCATTGGTTAAGAGCACTGGCTGCTCTTCCAGAGGTCCTGAATTCAATTCTCAGCAACAACCTCGTGGCTCACAACCATCTGTAATGAGATCTGGTGCCCTCTTCTGGCCTGCAGGCATAGATGCAGACAGAATGCTGGATACATAATAAGTCTTTAAAAAAAAAAGAAAGAGCGAGTGAAGAAGACTTAATATAAAAACACTAGCTTGATACAGAAAGTAACACATGTGCAAGTTGAGCCCAACAAAACAAGTTCTTTAAAATAAGTCAATAGACAAAGTTCTTGAAGGCTTCTTTTCCATGCATGAAACTTCTCTTCAGACATTTAAAAACTCCGTTTATAATTGTAGGTTACAAAGCAATAAGGCTGAGCCTGGCCTGATGATTGTTTTTTGTAATTCTAGCACTCAAGAGAATGAGACCAGCATGGGCAATGGAGTAAGAATCTTTTTTTTTTTTTTTTTGGTTTTTTCGAGACAGGGTTTCTCTGTAGCTTTGGAGACTGTCCTGGAACTCGCGCTGTAGACCAGGCTGGCCTCGAACTCACAGAGATCCGCCTGCCTCTGCCTCCCGAGTGCTGGGATTAAAGGCGTGCGCCACCAACGCCCGGCTTCTTTTTTTTCTTTTAAAGCAAAGGAAGGTGGAGAGATGACTCAGTGGTTAACAGCACTGGCTGCTCTTCCAGATGATGTGGTTTGATTCTCAGTACCCACATGGTGGCTCACAACTATCTGTAATTCCAATTCCAGGGTATCTGATGCCTTCTGGCCTCTGTGGACACTGCGTGCACTTGATGCATAGTCATACATGAAGGCAGAATACATACACATATATTATTCTTTAAAACTTGAACAGTTGAAAGGATTACATGTAGCAAAGCATGGTACTATGTGCTTAGCACACTGGAATCCAGGTAGGAGAATTAGTCCAGGTAGGCTATATTTCAAGATTCTATTTCAAATAAATGAACCGACAAACAAAAAAGATTATATTCAATATAATCTTGGAATAATAGCTCCTTGGAATTTAATTTTCTTGCATCCATTTTTATTATCTTTTAAAAGATTGTCTCTACTATTTTTATCTTATGTGTATATGTGTGTCCCTGCGTGCAGTGCCCATGGGTGCTAATAGAGGGTGTCTTGACCTCCTGAAGCTAGAGTTACAGATTGCTGTGAGCCACCATGTAGGGGCTGGGAACTGAGTGCAGGTTCTCTGCAAGAGCAGCTGTATCCCAAATTCTAGTCGGTATTCATAATAAAAGCTCAGAGACAGATATTGGGGTTAAAGCTAAAGATCAGAAAAGTGAAGTGGCCAGTCATTAGAGAGTTCTCAGCTCTACCAATGCCCAGAACAAAAGGGTGATCGATCCTGTCCTAGACTGTATCTCCAGACTGCACTGCTCCTCAGACTCCACTAAACCTCACAATTCCCTCAGCCCCTGTCTCCTCCCACCTTATATTCCTCTCTAGTGCTGGGATTAAAGGCATGGCACTCAAAATACTGGGATCACACTTGTGTGAGCTCTGTTTCTCAATTTCATGTAGCTCAGGGTAGCCTTGAAATAACAGATCTGTCTCCCAAGTACCGAGATTAGAGGTGTGTACCACCACCACTACCAAGCCTCTATAACTAACTAGTGTGGCTGCTGGCATTTAAGGTGTGTACCACCACTGCCTGGCCTCTATGGCTAACTAGTGTGGCTAGCTTTGCGCTCTGATCTTCAGGCAAGCTTTATTAGTTAAATCATAAATAAAATATTACCACAGGCAGCAATTGCTGTTGGCCATTGAGCCATCTCTCCACCCCGTTATCTCTTTCTGTAAAGAGCAAAGTAATTTTGCAGCAGTGACTCTGCTGTTCACCTACAGACCTTTCTCAGGGACAGAAGGCCCTCGTATTCCACCCCAACCCCCTGCTTTATCTACAAGAAATCACCAGATACTCTCTACAGCCTCGGGGTGGAGCTTTCTCTACTTGGTGAGAAGTCCAACCCAGTGATGCTGAGGAGTCACCTGCAGGTGTAAAGTTCTAAGGACTGGGGAAGGCAGCAAGACCTGGTACTTCTAAGGAGTTCCAGGTCACGCAGGACCAAGTCCCACCCAGAAGTGGCCATCCTTCACCAAAAATCCCCAACAACAGCTGTCCGTCATCAGTGACCTCCTGGGTGCATACTGGCTCTTTCCTACCAGGTAACAAGGTCTGGAATTGCTGTCAGCTCAATCCCTGCATGGGGTATGGGAAGCTTCTTCACATAGCCAAAGACAGGAACAACCACTGTGGACTTGCTACTGTGGCCAGCTATCCTGCCGTGAATTGATGGAAAGCGGTGATTAAAGAATTGTGGGTACAAGCCGGGCGTTGGTGGCGCACGCCTTTAATCCCAGCACTTGGGAGGGAGAGGTAGGTGGATCGCTGTGAGTTCGAGGCCAGCCTGGTCTACAGAGTGAGTTCCAGGACAGCCTCCAAAACAATACAGAGAAACCCTGTCTCAAAAAAAAAAAATGTGGGAATCTATCTTAACATTGACCAAACCGTTATTGAGACCATAGTACTTGAATCATTGAAAATCCAAGTCTGTGACAGTTTTTACATAGGTTAAATGTTACCACTCCTTAAACTACTGTTACACACAGCTTTATAATATTGAACATAGATGGAAAAAGTAAATGAAGTGACAACCAGCTTAACCGGGATTGACATACTGTTAGCTATTATTTTGATAATCTTTGTTGTCATCTTGGTAATTCTTGTTTCATCTCAAAAAAGTTGGTTTGATATGAGTGCTAAGATTCAGGCCTTAGAAAAACTTATTAAAGCAGATCATAGAGATATTCAAACCCAGACTGAGAAATTTAATGGAGAACCAAGTTCAGCATTGAATTATAAAGTTAAAGAGGAACAGTCTAAGGTCTTAGGGAAAGCAACCTTAATTATCCACTAACCTTACAGGAAGTACCAAATGATAGAGGTATTGTAAAAGCTACTTGGAAGCCTCACCAACAAAATCCAGGGGTCCCAAAAGCCACAAGGGGAATGTGGTGAGTTGCCAAACCAGAGAGTGCAGAAGCAAATATTAAAGCCAGGGAGCACAGCCAGGAATCCCAGACTAGATGAAGAGAAAAAGCAAGTGGGCAGACCCCAGCTGGGAGGGAACCAGGCCAACTGGGAGCAGGCATTTAAGGCTTGCTATAATGTGCCTACAGCACAGGTTGGGTGGACTAATTAAGGTTATAGGGACCATAGAGAGCTAGACAGGATGGACTTTTCTGGGGTCCCTTGATTCTCAGAGCAGAACCTGGGAAGACAGTACATGGGAGTAGGAGAAACATGGCCAGCTGCAAGGGCAGTGAGAACCTGAGAACCCGGGTGAGCAGCTTGAAGCCCGGACACTTGGTCTATGTGCACCCTCACTAAGAGCTGGTGTGCACAGACCTCAGCGTCAGCCGTCGGTGTCAGGATTTCAAGAAAGGAATACAAGTCAGCAAGACATCACTGAAGGCAAATGTGGGAGCACATATCCATAACCCCAGTCTTCCAAAGGGTCTAAAGTTAAAGGTCATTTCAGCTAACTGGTGAGTTTGAAGCCAACCTGAGTTATGTGAGATCCTGTCTCAAAACAATATTACTGAAGGGGAAAGACAGAATGAGAATATGGTGACACATTTCTAATTCCCAGCTTGGCCTTTGGTGTGGGAGGACTGAAAAAAAAAAAAACTAATTCTTAAAAAAAAAAAGTGCAAGGTCACAAGACACTCAGCGGACTCAGGCTGAGTGTCTGATGATTCCTGATTACTTCCAGGATGGACTTGCGTGCCGGCCAGCTGGCAAACACATTTGCCTCCAATGGGGCTAGTCATCTACTCCTTCATTCTCCACGGCCTCCCTACAATAGTAGACTTACTTTAGCCACAAGATGGCCTGCCCCAGTGAGCTCCTGTCCTATGTGCCCCTGTCCCAGTGAGCACCTGTCCTATGTACACCTGTCCCAGTGAGCACCTGTCCCAGTGAGCACCTGTCCTATGTGCACCTGTCCCAGTGAGCACCTGTCCCAGAGCACCTGTCCCAGTGAGCACCTGTCCCAGGTGCACTGCTGCTTTGTGTGCTTTGGGAACAGGGCAGACCTCCAGCCCTGCACGAAGAAATCACATGCACGCAGACCTGTGTTTGTAGCAGACTTTACTGAAGATCTGAAGAGACGAAGGGGATTTACATAGAAAAAAATACAAAAGCCTTAAAGTTGAGTATCAGACATCTGTGAGTGTAAAAAAACACCATTTCCACTGCCTGGGCTCTGGCTCGCTAGGAAGGGTCGTGCCCATTTGTGCCCTTCCTTACTCACGAATATATATATACACACACAAAAGCCGAGGTCCAGGCACTTTTTAAAGAATTTTTATTTCAGACATCAGGTTTCACCGTACAGCCCCTGCTGGCCTTATTCTCCTCCTGAGTGAGTGTTGGAGAAAGATAAAGCTGTGACCCTGGCACCTGGCTGGGCAGAGTAGTTAGCTACATCCTGTGTAGAGAGTCTTTGAGGAAAAGGTTATTTCCTTTCTGATCTCTAAGATATGTTATCCAAGGTGCCTCTGCCCCCTGTACCACAGCTCTAAGAAAGAGAATAGGTTTTCAGCGGGGGTCACAGGCAGGAGGTCACTGGATAGAACCCAAGGGAAGCTTATGCTTTCCTGTTGTCGCTTCTGTGCCTGGGGCCCAGGACCCGGAAGCTCCCTCCTGGCACAGACTACTCTCAGGCCTCCTGCACTCAACCCCCAGCCCGGGAAAGAACGGGCGCTGCACACCAGAGATGTAAGACCACACCTCAGGCCCCTTCGCCGGGCGGCCTAGGACACCACTTGTACACACAAACACACTAGTTCCTTTTATGTGTGGGGGTGGGTTTTATTTTTTAGCTATTGGTTTTGCTTTGTTTGTTTTTCTGGTCAGGAAACATTCTTTCCATTCCTGTGACACCTTGTCGGTACAATCTGCTGCTAGCCGCAGGCCCTGTGAAGCAGAGAACCTTTCACCTGTCCCTACTGCCACTGGTGACACTTCCTGCTGGCGAGGTAACACCAGGAGGGGTTTCACTCCTGGGGTCACGACATGGGTGGCCCTCTCTGGTCCACTCTCCCTTGCCTCTCACATGGCTGCCAAGTGGCAGAGACCCAGAAAACAGTTTCCACCCCCAGATACCCAGGGGAACACGCTGGATGGGCTCAAGAGCAAGGACCACACTTGCTCCTTTGTAGAATCCCAGGGTTCCAGGGATGTTCTCTAAAAATAGCATCAAAGGGTCTCCCTCCCTTGCTTAACAGCTCCCGGCCTCCCTACCACCCTGAGAGAAGGCCAAAGTCAGCATCCACACAGGGAGTGTAGGGGACACAAAAAAACTGAGCCAATTGCCTTCCTAACTGGTGTGCTGGCTGGGTGAGGTACGTCTGCCTTCTGTCACTCAACATATCCCTCCCCGTCTCCAGGACTCTCCACTCTCTCTTGAAGAGATCCTTCGGATCCACTTGCCTGGGGTTCAGGAGTCTACAGCTTCCGGGCCTCCCGTTGTGCTAACCCTGGTGCCCTCCCCCTCCACAGCATTTCCCACTGCCTACAAGTCTCCTTTACTTGTCCCTAGTCAACCCTTCCTTAGTCCAAAGCAGCCACCCTGGCTGTGTTGCTCATGGACACATTCCCAGAGCCTGACACATCTCAGAAACTAAACACCCATTCGCAAGGCAAATGGAAAAACACACCAACAACCCAAGCAACTTCCTTAAGCTCTCGGGGCCTCACTTCCTTAATCTTTAAAATAGGACTGCTGGATACAGTGGTAAGCACCCATAGTCCCAGCTCCTCAGGAAGCTGAGGCAGGGGGATCACTGGAAATATTAGCCTAGACCAGAGAGGGTGAGCTCGTCTGAAAAAGAAAAAATGGCGCCAGCACAGTACCGTCATCAAGATTGGTGGGTTGGGGGGGACCCTCGGGCTGGCAGGTGCCATATTGACTTGAGTGGAGAAGCAACTAAGACTGCCATCTTCCATGGTGACTCTGCCTTAGCCACTGAGGTCAGTTCATACAGGAAGAACAGGATCCACACTGGGACCCAGCATCTGGACTGACCTGCTTCCCATAGGAAAACGTTGTGTCCTTCATGTCTCAAGAGGGAGCCCACATAAAAGTCTGAAACGGCCGAGGCTGGGGCCCCCCAAGAACACTGCTCCCAGGCAGCGATCATGGGGAGGGGGATCAAACACAGGCCTGCATGTGGAGGGGTGAACCTCACCACAGGGCCAGGGGTGCAGCACTGGCCCCCTGGCCCCCTTTGACTGCAGCAGGAAGCAGGTGTGGGTGCGGGAGGGATGTGCTAAATTGCTTTGGTTGAGGAGAGGGAATTTGGGGGCCTGCATGTCTACCTCACCTGAGATGCAGCCACACTCCTCCCATGAGCTTATTTGCATACTTCTGGTCACTCAGCCTGTGCCAAGCCCTGGGGTCCGCCCCAGCACCAAGTTCACACAAATAACATCACTAGATATTAGCCATCCTACCCTCTGAACTTGTTCCCTCGAGGGCTACCTCTTCCCTGAGACCCCTGGACCCCTCCTGTCTGAAGGGCAATCACTGTAGGATCGCCCCCACCGCAGTGCGTAATTCTCCAATCTGGGCTCCACAGCCGGAGCTGAAGCTCCCACAGTTAGTACCGATGCATATTTATTGAACACGTGGATGTGCTCAGCACTATATGAGGCACTGTTTATACACGAGGTAGGTGAATGTTATACCCATTTTACAGATGGGGAAACTGAGGCACCATAACATTAACACACCAGAGGTTGCACAAAGTCAGGCTAGACTGATTCCAGAGCCCTTGTTCTTCACTTCTGTAGCATCCCCTCGATGCTGCCCTGCCCATTTCTGCATCCCCACAGATACATCCCTGAGTTCTGGGCACACATACAAACATGCCCAGGTTGGATCTTTCTTCCTGAGGCTCCAAGTTACTAGAAACTGGCTCTGACTGGGGAATCCTTGAGAGAGCAGCAGAGAGAGTCAGATCCAGGCCCTCCAGAGGGAAGGAAGCAAGGGGCTGGGACTGAGGGTCAGATCATTTAACTGGCACGGTACCCAGTCGTTTTTTGTTTTGGTTTTTTGTTTGTTTGGTTTTTTTTTTTTTTTTGAGACAAGGTTTTTCTGTGTAGCCCTGGCTGTCCTTGACCTCCCAGAGACCCACCCACCTCTTCCTCCCAAATGCTGGAATTACAGGTGCGCATCACCACCACCCGACATGACCTAGGTACTTCATAGACATCCTCTCCTCACCAGTGCTGAGCAGAGAGGAAAGGGAGAAGCTGAGGAGCCTGACAGGGTCAAGTAGCTGGAAATGCTGGCCCTGAAGCGGGACTCCCTACCTCCAAGCCTTGCCTCAGTCTGGAGTCCTAGGCAGGGCCATCTGAGTAACTCCTGCCTAGTCTCCAGCCACACCTAAATCCAGCCCTGTTTGCAGGGGTGGGACCTTCTGCGGCAGCTATCATCAGGCAGCGATGGCAAGGCTGATAGTGTGCACGCGGTCGTGTCTGGGTGTGGGACCCGCATGCCATCTGTCCTCGGGCCGCCAGTGTGACCAGCAGCAGACTGCAGGGTTCCAGCAGCTGAGAAGGGACCACTGGGTCTTGAGCTTTGGTGTCTGGAGCTGAGTCGACTGGGGATTTCTGGCTCCTGGACCATCTGGGAGCATCTCTGGGCTTGCTTCCTGGTGCCCCTTCTCCCCTGCCCTTCCGGGCTCACACAGCCAGACCAGCTCCTCTGAAAATGCTTGGCACGTTGGGTTTATTGAGGGTTGGGCACTGCAAGATCAGGCTTCTCTGCTCAGCTCTCGTGGCACTTCTGGGGGCTGGCCCTGAAGGTTCCCTCCCAGGTCCCCATTTCCTGGATCTGTCCCCCCAACCATTGCTCTTCAAGTCTCTCATTCTTTCACGAGCCGGTAGATGTGATGCTGAGCTCCATGTTCGCTGGCTGACACTTCGAAGACATACGCGATACACAGCAAGGTCTCCTGTGTGTCTCGATTGGTGACCACCTGCCGGTGACACAAAGGTGAGGGTCAAAGCCCTGGGTTGGGAAGCCATGGGTGCCGCCCACCACCGCCGCCCATCGCCCTGGGCATCTGCCCCACCTCATACCTGCAGGATGGTGAAGTTCTCCAGAACACTGTTCATCATATACTTCTCTGGTAAGTGCTTCAGCTTGTGGATAAAGTTGATCATGTATTCACAGAGCGGGGACCGGTGGATACGGTACTGGTAGCGGCCGTTCTCAAAGCGAGCATACTCCGTCTATAGAACCCCAGGGACAACAGAAGCTTAGAGTCCCTACACCTCTTGCCCAAGCCCAACTTAGCAGGGACGTACAAAAATCCAATCACAGCCAATGGAACGTAGAGGCAGAAGATGGCCCAGGACCAGAGCTGTCCTCTGAGGCGTCTAGAGCTCCCCTCTTTGTCGCTGACATGACAGGCAAACACTTCCAGGAGAGGGGAATGAAAAGTCCTGGGAGCAGTGGCAACGGGACGGGGCAGGTGTTGCAAGTGAGGCGGCCCGCACCTGTGTGGCAGAACTACCATACGCATGAAGCTTGGTGGTGGATGCTATTGCCATAGGAGCTGGATAGACAGCACATAGAACGATAGACATGAGCATCTCAAAACCTTGTTTAATGCAAGTAATAACTGTAGGAGCTTTGTAAAAACTGCCTTTCCTGGGATAGGGCAGCAACTGTGAGCCCTGGAGTCCATCTACAGCACCAGATGGAACAAAAGACCACACACGCACACAGGCGCGCACACATTATAGTCCCAGGATTAAGAGAAGTTACATGAGTGGGCTCAGTGTGGCACGCGCGCGCGCACGCACGCACTAACGTGTATCAAAAGCTTCCTGGCAATGGAACAGCTAGGGTTGGGACCCCTGAAGTGAAAGTCGACTCCCAGGTTCTGCCTGGCACCCAACTGTTTGACATGGGTTTCTGTCAACCACAGGTAGCGAGGATGCCATCAATTCAGACCCACGTAGGCCAAGAGCTGACCAGCCTGACAGCATGCAATGTTAAGCACTGCAGTGTCACAGTCTTTAGGGCCACAGGGACAATATGACTGGAGGCTTTAAGGCCATTTTGTCATTCTCATTACACAATAAGATCAGAATGTCACAGTTATTGGGACCAGTGGGTGGTGAAGGCAACCTGATACTTCCTTAGAGATGGGGGGGCTAACACAACCCCAAGAGGAAGTGGGGGCCAGGGGAGGTGTACAGGGATCAAAACTAGGTTCTTAGCTTGAGCTCATTACCAGCCCACCTTTGACAGGGTGAGTGGGAACAAGGCAGAGAATTCTGCCCAATTGTAAGGTCTCCGAGGCGCTCCAAAGCCAAAAAGCTGTGTGATACTTGGGAAGGGGGCTCGAAAGGCTGTCTCAAAGGCGGTGAGGTGGGGATAAAGGGCTGTGCAGCTCAATGGAAGAGTACTTGCCTAACATAACCAGGCTCTTACAAAAACTCAAGCACCTGGAGAAACAGGGACGCCAGAAGCTTCCAGCATTCCTGGAGTAGAAAGTGAGCAGCAAACAGACCCTGAACATCCGTTTCACCGCCTATGCATCTAGAGAGCTGTGTGACTGAGAAAGGCTACACCTATCCCCAGGACCAGCTGTTAAAGACACAGATGGATTAGGGAGAAATCCTTGGGCTAACCCGTGTCTTGGCTCTGTTCTAGAAATTGTGGGATGCTTGCAAGGAAGGCGTGAAAGGAATCCTGACCAAAAAATTCAGTCAGGGATCAGAGGTATGGGCCAGACAATTAAATCATAGATGCCTCACACCCAACCTAAAACACACACTTCTGAAGGCATGTGGAAACCACACGGGGCCCACCCTCAGCAATCCTGCCCCCAGGAGAGCTCCGGGGAAAGGGGGTCCACAGACACCCCCTTTACCCAACACCCTCTAGGTGGCCTCCTACCTCAACTTTCTCCACCACTTGCTTGCCGAAGGAGCAGACCTTGGTAGAACAGGTAATAATCATGTTCTCCAGGCTCTCGTACTGGCTGGAGACCCCATAGAAGGCGTTGTTGTCATCGTCGATGTTGGTATTGAGGTCTGCCTGCCAGAGAAATGGAAGGATGCGGCTGTTTTCAGGGGCGCCCTTAGGGTCACAGTGCAGGTTCTTGTGAAGGGACTCAAGCTGGCCTGAGCCTGCCAAACATGGCTCTGGCAGGCCTGGTCCTTCTCCCCCATTCCCTCTGCCTTGCTAAAAACCCTTAGATCACATCCCTAAAGCCAGCCATCAAGCTCCATTCCCTTAGTCGGCCACTTCTTTCTCCTGAGGCTGACTACCAAGGCCCAGCTGTTATAGTATTCAAGTCCAGCAATCAAAAGCCCCCTAAGGCTGCCTTAATTAACCTGTCCAATCAAAATTAAACACCTCATCCTAACACAGGGTTTCCCCTTTCACCTTTATAAACCACCATTTTCCTATGGGCCGTGTCTGTCTCCTTTCTACCCAGAGGCGGGCCTTAGTACCTCCAGGACAAACATCCCTTCCCCGTGTCCCTTGTTCCCTTCCCCCTTTCCCTTGTCCTCCCGTCTTTATCTCTTATTCCCTGTCCTTTGCCCCTCTAGGGGGAAATAAACCTCCTTTGTGCTGAGAACTTGGTCTTGGGGTTTCTTGTACCCACACCAGTCCCTTCATCTTGGACGAGACAGGGCTTTAAAAGAATGGGGACCGGGTGTGGCTACAACTCAGTGGGAGGGCCAGTTGTTGGCCTGGAAGGACCAAAAAGAAAGAATAAGAAAAAAGAAGAAACACAGGTACACCTCAAGCATAAGAAGCCTCTGCCACCCCCACAGTCAGACTCAATGTAATTCTTCTTCATTTCCCAAACAATGAGAAATAAGTTCACAGCTGTCTGTCCACACAGGAGCCAGAATGACTTCTCGGTTGGGTATTGTATTAGTTACCTTAGGGTCACCACATAGGAACCACCTAAGGAAGGGTTACCTTGGTTGTCTCAGTCCCTCATAGCAGGGAAGGCATGGTAGAATGATCTCATCCTGGTGCTAAGATCGTGGGATGGTGGCTGTCCACATGGCCCAGGACAGGAAGTAGAGAACACAAGCCAAAACCAGGAGATGGTATAACAAGGACTTGCCGCTGGTGTCTTATTTCTAGCAGCAAGGCCACAGCTCTTAAAAGCTCTACAGCCTTCAAAATAGAGCCACCACGAGCTGGGGACCAAGCATTCCAAATGCAAGTCTGTGGGCGGCACTGCATTCAAAGCATGTCCCTGGCCCAGAACAGCTCCTGTCCATCTTATAGTACAAACAAGCACACGTAGTCACAAGTGTCAGTGCAAAGTCTCTTCTGAGGCAATCTGAGCTATGAACCCTGCAAAAGCAGAAAGAAAACTGCCTGCTCCCTACTCATCCTAGGGCTGAGTAAACATCCCTGTGCCAAAAGGAAAGCAAAGGCAGGAGCAAGAAGAAACACGGGCACTGGAGAGAGTCCACGGTTGGGAGCGCTGGCCGCTCTCAGAGACCCTGAGCTCAGCCCAGCACCCACGCTGGGCAACGCATACTCTATGTTCTCTTCTGGCCTCCATGGGTAACTGTAAATGTGTACTCACATAGACCCAGAGACATACAATAAACCTTAAAAAAGAAAAGACTGCAACTCAACCAAGTATGGATAGCACCTGATCTGCTATCCAGGGCTTATGGTGACATCTGAGCTCCAAGAGCCTGGGCATTCCAGCCCCTATGGTTCTGCCATTTGCAGCTACGGCCTCTTCCACAACCTGGCTCAACTGGGTGCCTGCAGCTTTCTTCAGAGACATCCCACATTCCCAGTATCTTCAGTGACCTGGGGCCTCTACTGCAGCTTAGGCTCCCTTCATGTGTAGTTTACGTTGGGATGCCCATCAGAGACTCCAGCCCTTCGACACACTGTTCTAGAATCTTGATGCAAGCTCCATGACCCTACAACTCAAGCAGTTTGTATACTTGCAAAGCCAACAAACAGTGGGTGATGGCAAGTTCTGCTGGAGGTAGCTGGGTCCCCATAGACCATGACAATAGTGTCCTGCAAGTGCCTGTGTGGCTGAACTTGGTAAACATTTCCAGAAGCTCTTTGGTTTGGGGGTGCTCTTTTGCTTTGGGCTGTTTTTTTTTTACTTCTTTATTTTGTGTGTATGAGTACACCAGTGCCAGAGGAAGCATGTGCAGCTGAGGTCAACTTTTAGGTGTTGGGTCCCTCCTTCCACCATGCAGATCCTGGAGTTTGAACTCAGACAAGCAGGTGCATGTACTCCTGAGTCATCTCACTGGTACTAACATATTTCTTTTACTTTAATTAAGGAATTCTTTTAAAACTTATGTGTGTATGTGTGGAAACATGTATTTGCCTGGCTGGGTAGGCCTGAGTTTGCTTGACATGATGATCTCTAACTCCATCCATTTCCCTACAGATGACATACAGAAGGCCGAATCTTTGTTTTGTTTTTCTAGGACAAGGTCTCTGGCTATCCTGGAACTCACACCATAGACCAGCCTGCTTCACCCTCCCAAGTGCTGGGATTAAAGGCATATGCCATTGCACCTGAACAGAATGCTGATTCTTATGCTGGGGCTTCTTCTTCAACCACAAAACACAAAGGTAACTGCCATGTGGACCAGAGCGCAGGCTGTGAACGCAATGGAGCTGTCAATCACAATGCAGGTTCTAAGACTCTTCTGCAGGATTTGAGCACAAGTGACAAGCAGTCTTACTCATGACCGCTAGGTGACACTCAAGCACTGGTTTTCTCTCCTTTGGCAACTTCCTTTCAACAGCAAAATCTTTGTGTAAACTGACAAGGGAGTGTTAATTACCCTATAATTATTGTGGCATGAAAGGCATATTATACAGTCATCGACACACACACACACACACACACACACACACACACACACACACACACACCGGAGAGGAGAGCAATTATGGAATAGAATGAAATGTTTTTTAGGGTGTCTCAGTGTGCTGTGCATGATTTAAATGGAGCCATTCTCTAGGAGGAAAGAAAAGCAAAGAAACAATTACAACAGCATTCGAGCCAATGTTTAGCCTCTGAAACAAACAGTCCCCTTTCCTAAACACTCTCCTTTCCAAACCGAGGATGGCTTTCAGTCCTCCTGGACCTGCCTCCATCCTGACCCTGTGGGGGAGGACAGCTGGGGGTGTGCAGCACCTGTGATGTGGGGCAGCCATGGTCCAAGGTCTTCCTGGGACAAATGACACGAACAAGGACCTGAACATAGGCTTTCTCCCACTCCTCTAAGTCATACAACTGTTCTAAAAGACCAAGTTTGTCAGATTGGCCTGAAAAGGTTGGGAGACCGTTTGTGGGCTTAGAGTACACTGTGACCATAACAGTAGGGCAAAAATGTGGACCATGCATCAAAAACAAAACAAAACACCATAGGGGACCCAACTGCCTGGAAGGCAGAGACACTGAGGGATGAGACCAGGGCATTATATGGTGACAATACTCAAATGACAAACGCTGTGGCCATAGGGCTCTGACCAGTGTGACACTCATTAACCACACAGATCCTTCCAAGGTGTCAAGATCTCGGTATGTAGCTCAGGCAGACTTCCCATTTCACTCCTTCTGCTTCAGCCTCCTAAGTACTAGGATGACAGGCATCTACCCAACTTGTGCATCTTTTAATGACACTTCTTAAAATTTTATTTATCTATCTATTTGTGAGTGTGTGTAATGTGTGTGTACTTGCACATACATAATGGTGTGCATGTGGAAGCCAGAGGACAATTTGCATAAGTCACTTTTCTCTTTCCGATTATGTGCGTTCCAGGAGTTGAACTCGGGTCATCAGGCTTAATGGCAAGCACCTTCACTAACTGAGCTATCTGGCTGGACTGTGTGGTATCTCTGACTTCAATTCACTTTTATTACTTAATTTTACCATAAGCAATACAATCAGGAAAACAAGGACTTTTTTTCTCTTACATAAGCCAAATTAATTATTAAATAAGAAATGTCCAGGGCTGGAGAGATAGCTCAGGAACATTGACTGTCCAAGGAACCAGGTTCAGTTCCCAGCACCTACAAGGCAGCTCACAACTGTCTGTAAACAGTTCCAGGAGATCTGACACCCTCGCACAGACATAAATGCAGACAAAACACCAATATAAATAAAAAAGCAAATAAAATTTTTAAAAAGAAATGTCAATAGGTGTAGCACTTGTAAGACCTCCCTGCGCACCATTCTGGGAAGCACCAACACCAAAGGGCATCTCAGGCCACCAGCAAACTTGCCCAGGGGACGATCCATGGGTGCAAGAACCCTGTCCTTTCAGTAAGGGGCGCTGTTCCACTTCTCAGAACTGGGCAGTGCTATGACAGAGGAGCCAGGCCCCTGAGTACATCGGAGTTACTTACCCCTGGGGTGTGGACCCCAGCTTGAGCCCTCCATCTCAAATACACTCCAGCTCTTCAGTCATTACTTTCCACCCTAGGACCCCTTTAAAACACTCATTCACAGGGTCCACACCTTTAATCCCAGCACTCAGGAGGCAGAGGCAGGTGGATCTGTGAGTTCCAGGACAGCCAGAGCTACAAAGAGAAGCCCTGTCTCAAAAAACAAAACAAAACAAAACAAAACAAAGACAAAAGACTTCATCCAGTCACAGCCCAGCATTTCTGGGGATTGTGGGATAGAAAGGGGCTAAGGAATATTTGTGTACTATGAAAGAATTTGTAACTGAGAACAGAGTAGGATTAGTGAGATGGATGGGGGTCCAACATCACCCTAGAATCTGCCCTGGGCCTGTGATGCGCAGATCTGGGAGATGACAGCCCATCCCACAGCCCCTCTGCTAGTCCTTGGGCTCCAGGGTTCACCCAGCTCTCCCACCACCTCACCCTGCCTGCAGCTGTAATCCAGGACAGCTGTCCCTCTCGGTGCCCAGCCATCTGAACACCCCACCTCCTCCATGCACCCTATTCATAGCTGATCATGAGGGTGGGCAGCTCGCGGACTGGGCCTGGAACAGCTGTGAGGGATCGGGTGACTGACAGATGAGCAGACAGCATTGACTGTTGA